ACACTACCGGTTTCACAGTTGACACTAGTTAAACGCACGTCTGTAATAATCTTTTGCCAGATCAATCATGTACTTGCACCCATGTGATGTATACGTTTGTATCGAAAGTACGCTTCTGGGGGTACAGTTAAATAGACGACTTGAAACAGATCACCTGCAATGCTATTTGGCAGACCTTGGGTTAGTGGCAACCAAGTTGTTTAAGAAAAAATGATGGGGCGAACGGTGGTGGGATAGTTCTGTGTATGGTCGACAAAGGTCGGATCAAAAAATACGCTGGTGAGCTTGTAGTATTATAGTTGGCACGAGCGAGTTTAATGCAGGTGTTTTAGATAGAGAAATGGGATAGCAGCTGTTAAATTTTTTGTGGTTTCAAATCCCTGCAGGGCCGGTATTTTGATCAAAGAAATTATGGAATGCGATTTGCACGACTAATCCGGTGGTTATTGTTTGCATACAATCATTATGGCTTTTCATCATTTCCAACCATTTTGTACCTCCACGAATTTTGAGTACATGTGTAAGGGAAGTTTACCCGCCAACTCACGGTGATTAGCTTTAGTTACCGACGTACGCATCCGCTTTCGACCTTTTTAATTGTTTTTTACCAAGCATGGTGATAAGCAGCTTCGCTGTCGATCGGCTCAGTACCAGACTTATTCTGTTTTGGATTCACCACCCTATTCCACACGGCTTAGGTTCCCGGATAACACAAAATGAATGAGAATTTAGATTCTCGGGGATTTCGGGTTTAGTCTTTCTACTGTCGGTCACACAATGGTAGATCCTAAATTAATTTGTTTGACCATCAATTTTATTTATATAGCTTCTCTACGCCATGGCTACATACTGATCATTTACAATTTCAAAGCTGCTGATGGAAGTTGATTTCAAATAGAAGCCGCATGTTTTCACACCCGACGACACCAGTACAAATATATAAACATCGCTACTCGCTTTTGTAACTGTCCTGGTTAAATTTTGATGCCCTTGTTAAATCTGTGTTTATTTGCGCACCTTTCTATAAATTCCACGTTCAACTTCGCTTCCTCTTTTCATCACTTTCTTCGATTGTCTTTGTGCTTTTCGTTTCGCCTAATAATTTGATGTCCCTAGCGCGTAATTCTCCCCTCCCACACGTCACTCAATTCGGTTTCAGAGTCGACCTTTCGGTGCCGCATTGTTGTTTGCCGGGATAGATGAGAATGGTCCACAGCTGTAAGTTTGATTCATAGATTGAATAATCGGTAATGTTGTTTAGCATTCATATGGATCCCAGTGGTACATACATACGGTATGATGCGAAAGCAATCGGATCGGGTTCGGAAGGTGCACAACAAGCCTTACAGGAAGTCTTTCATAAGGTATTTTCCCCTTACTCATTTCTCATTTCGTTTCCCTCTACTTGTAGAATATGACACTTCGGGAGGGATGCAAACATGCCCTGTCCATATTGAAACAAGTTATGGAAGAAAAGTTGGATTCCACAAATGTTGAGGTTTGTTGTTACTACATTTGTAATGTTAACTGTCCGCCATTTTTCGACCTATAGATGGCCACGGTCAGTGTACATAACAAGTTTCATCTTTTCGACAAGGATGAGGTGCAACAAATCATCCAGGAGCTTGCTCAAAGTTAATACACTGTCATGTGCAAGTCAGCTGTGACAAACCGAAAATTGTATAACGTTTTACAGCATATTCAATTCAATTCTTCCACTGACTTGTATTGTATTGGTTAAGCGAATACGGACTCTTGAGCGTACAAGTCGGTTAATTTCTGCGAACTCCTCGAAGAAACAGGAAGAAGCTAATCACAGAGGAAGCGTGGGGCGCATTCCCCGTGTAAGCCACTTAGGATTTCATGTAGTCGGGTAGATTTCTTACAAACTGCTTTTGAACGACAAGGCCTCGTAATATGGAGTGACCTCGGTCGGTTACACGCATGGATTGGATCAGACAATATATACTCATTCATGCTTCGTAGTGAAGTCCCCCCCGCCCAGTGCACGCCATTACTCTGAAATGTAGAAATAATCGGCAGAAAAATTTTTTTCCTTAGGTCATGAACCATCCCTAAAGTTCCAATCTACAAATAATTGATTTGCGCCTTTCTGATGGATATGTTTCGTAGTTTGGCGCAAATTGGCTCACGATTTCGTAGTTCATAGAGGTTGTTTCTAAGCGCCATTGTTTATATAGAGGATTTATTTTGCTAATCTGTAAATGATGAACCACACAGTGTATAAAGTTCAGAATCATAAAGATCCATTGCTGACCGAGGAAAGTCGCTAACTATCAAATGGTAAANAATGGTAAACCACCCAAGACCCAAACAGAATTTATTGCCAATTAAGGTTAAGACGACCTCCGATAAACCATTTTCTGGAAAATAACGTATTCAGTGGAAAAATCCCATCGAATATTATTGATTGTATTAATGAATTCATTTGCAAATATGCTGAAGTAATCTGATGAGGATGTTCTCCGGTGCAAATCTCCCGAAGAAAATCACCGGTTGTTACTCCTTAGTCGATTAGAAATCTGTAACACCACAGGTGAGGCAAATATTATGATCGCGTGGCCACCATGTTAAGATTGTACCAGCGGCGCTTACAAGTTGACGACGGAAATTTGCTCCGAAATAACCCCCAAGACAAGGTTAATGATCTGCAACAGTTGTGAATTCAGGACTTCTTCGGAATCAATGGAATTCCTTCCATGTTTTGTCGTCACTTTGTTGCTGCCGCAGTTGCACTTGTCTAAGCTATTTTACCCGGATCACCACGCTACGCTTTGTTCTCAGTATGCTTTCTACATCGTTTTGGTGCATTCCCCACACGAGCGATTCCTGCAGGCTCCAGTTTGCCTAATGGCTAACGTATTTATTTCAGCTTTGTCTCAATCCAAACTGTCAGAAAAAATCTCAAACCAATACATGAAGTTCTGATTTGTTTGTGAAATGTTGTTCCAGGTTTTACAAACCAAGGGTCCACAATGTGAGTCTTCAGCCAACCATATCCATTGGCGGCCGATGTGGAGTCAGCCGTATCTTGTGATTGAGTGGTTGTTCCTACGTTGACGATGTCCAATATTCAATCGATTTAGTGTCCTGGATTCCGTTTACGCCAAATCTGGTGCGTGAATCAATTCATTACAGATCCCCTAGCTGCCTAGATCAGCAACCCTGGCATAGCCTCAGATATCGGCTTCTCACCCGCTTATTTTTATGAAAAATCCTCCACAGGAGAAGGGCGAGTATACCGCCCAACAGAGAGAGGATTGTGGAGGGAAATCGATAAAGAAGCACGAATTTGTCAAACGAAAAGAGACAGTTTAAAAATGTCCACGTGGGTTTCAGTGAAATGAACATAAGCAAGATGCTAGAAATAATCAAGAGATCGTGGTTCTCGGAGCCTCTAAATGAGAATTCGTTTAACTTCGGTATTGAGATAAAATATGAAGGTACAACAGTCTTGACGAATACTGTTCCTGGCGTTACCGTGGTTGAGGTTGCATCACTGACAAAATGTGAACTGGATCAGAATGAAAGGAGAAAATTAGTAAAGATAAGAAAAAGACTGCATAAAGTCGAGGAACCTTGAGGGACATTAGCAGCCACAGTTGTACTCATAAATTGTCCCGTCCGTTGAGTAGAGAGCGATGCATTTACTGAACAAGTCCACCACACAAGTGCCGGAGCTAATAGGGGTACGGTCAGTTTCGCCAAAAGACTCTGGAATCTAGACATGGTCGGTAACCAAAACATGGTTATCATTCCTGTGTCTGAGCATTATGAGTGAGGTTCCTTTTTTTGATGAGGATAATGACATCTAAACTGTGCTAAACTAGACCGTATGCTTCCCAATGATGACAGCTTCCCGATAAATCAAATCACGGTCCTAAGGTTACGTGGCAGGAGGATTCTCCGAACCAGTTCTTCAACCTGTCATCGTATATGAAGCAGAATCGATCCATCCACTACTGGTTCTCCGTTCCATTTCCACTCAAAATTGCCCAGGAGCTGTATTTTGCGGTATTACATTACGGTACCCAGTTTCGTAGCAGTGATTCCTGTTGTGCTCAGTGAATGGGGCATGTTCATACTAGTGTTTTAAACCTCAATGCATACAAACGTTCTGTGGTAGAAGGCCCAAAAAGCAGAGACCGGCTTTGTACATTGTGTAACATCTAATTGTACTAGATCATTGAGCATCATACATCCAATTGCAATTCAGAATTTTTTCCATCACACATGTTTCTTTACCGTTAAATAGACATTTTGTATTACAATGGGCAGTTCTTAATCAACCCGAACCGGGTTTGACACCGTCCTGAAGTGCCAGGGAAGTGATCAGGGATTCCAAACAAGGCTACTGATTTTCTTCATCATTCAGTAGTTTGCTGTAAAGGTGTCAGTTCATTTTTTTTTTGGGGG